ACAAACAAACAAACAAAAAATATTGCAGGTGTATGAATTCAGCAAAATAATTCAATATAGTCCAGTAGTCCATAATAGTAGTGGGCTACCCATATGACTGGCAATGTCAGAACTTGTTGACTTGAACCTTTTACAGCTCAGCATATTAATATGGCTTTACTTTTTATATTTCGCCTTTATACTTTTCTGCTGGATGGTTAAGACCAAGAGAAAGAAAAACCTATATAACAAGAAACATAGCTTTTGTATCTGATAAGGTCAGTCAAATCCCCTTAGGATTTGTCCTAAAACCCTGTACCACAGTTTGTAGACCCTTTATCAGTGCAGCCATGTGGATGAGTCATGGCCATTGCTTGACCAATTTGCTCTCTGTAAAAGCCTGAGAGAATGTTTTCTCTCCATGGGACTCTCCTTAGGCACACTCTACATCATTGATCGCTTTCCTCTGTGGCCCCATAATTTCCTTGATCAGAAAATTTGGGATACAATGGAGTTACATGATATTATAGTACAGGTTCCCCTATGTCTTCAGTCCTCACTGACCTTGAAAGGGAAGGATCAAAATGTTGGCTGTCTTTGCAGCCCTTCTTTTTCTCTAATTTGCAGATTTTTGATAAATTCATTTTGTTCACATTTATATAAATGTGAATTCATTATGTCCACATTTAAGAAATATACTCGATACACGTTTGTTTTCTTTATCAGTTAGGGATGTGCTTGACCAGAAATACCAAATCACAAGGATAATAGTTGCTTTATTAAATTAAAACTTTCATATTTGTATTATCTCACTTCATTTAATCACTGCAAAACTTCATTTCTGGAAGTTCCTTGTTTTTTTCAAATGGCAAGAAATCTGTCAGCGTTCTGCAATGGGTGGTTTAGTTTATCTGTTAGCAAGATCTTTGAAGGGACATCTTTTTCTGCCCTGTGCTTCCCTATCCACTGCTTGCAGAAGTCTTCCAGCCTGATTTCTCCTTCCACACAGGAAAAAGAGGTGAGATAGAAGAGCTGGGAGCAAAGGGATGTTAAGAAGTTTTACCTTTTCTGTGAAAACTTTTGTTTGTATTCCTTTTGTAGAAACCAGGGACATCTAGTCCTTCCTGACTCCACAACTTGCAGCAAGAATAATATTACATGTATGAATTCAGCAAAATAATTCAATGTTTAATTTAGATGACTGATTATGAGATGAGAACTGAACTTTCCTAAACATAAGAATTTCTTCTACTTCCCAAAATTGGGCTTCTGTGAAGAAAGAGGAAGGCAGCCTGGAGTAGATGGTACATGGAGACAGTCTTTGCTATTATAGTTACATTTCTTTTGTTGTTGCTTATTTTCTGTTAGTCAGTTTTCAATTGCTATTCCAAAATACCCAAGAAAAACAATTTAAAGAGAGAAAGATTTATTTTGGTTGATGGCTTCAGGAGTGTAGGTCCTTGGCCAGCTGGCTGTGATGTCTCTGGACCACGCGGGAGGCAGAACATCATGGTGGTGCGTAGTGGTGGCAAAAAACTGATTAACAGATGCTGGGTAGGAAGTAGAAATACAGAAAGTGTCTAAGGACAAAGCTCCTTCAAAGGTACATGGCAGTGACCTCTCCAACTAGGCCCCAGCTTCTAGAGTCTCCACCATAGCCTGGCTGCACTAGCAGATGGAGATCAGCCTTCAAAAATTGAAACTTTGTGGAACACTCCAGAGCCAAGCCACAAGACTGTACACTTTCCCTACCTTGCAGATGTGGGGAGCGCTTACCACTTACTCTCCCCTACAATTAATGTGCAACTTCCATAATTCTAGTAGTGATTTCCTCCTTGTGGGTATTAATCACAATTAAAACTGTGCTTCTCTATTATTATATTGTTTTTAATGTATCTAAAAAGAACCCCAGTGCCCTCCTATATTAGGGGAACTAATGCCACCATGTGCAATAGATGAACCATGAAATTTCAGCAGATCAATACAATGAAAATGTATTTTTTGATCACATCACAGTTTGATGTGATGACTCGCAGATAAAGCTGCTTTTTTTCTTCCTTAAAAGTCTTCCATTTGAGTCATTTATTTTCAGAACGGTGGACAAGAGAGAAAATGTGAAAAGACTTATCCATTAGGAGCAGCCCTAGCTTGAAGGGTACCAGTTACTTTCCCTGGCATTTCATGAACTAGAAGTCAGGCTAGGGTCCCATGTTATTGGAAGGACCTGAAAGGAAACTGTAGCCTTCGGGGAACTCAAGATGAGACCTGTTCTTGGGGGACATAGCTTTGCCACCATCATAGACTGATCGCCTAATCATTTGCATCTTCATTTTTCTTTGTACTAAATGCACTTACTCCGTCAAGGGCACCTGGCCACTGCACTGAGCTTAGAGTCTGTGGTAATCAAGGTCCTGCATTAGTCTCCACCGGGTCTGAGAGTAGTATGAACACATGCTAACTGAACAACTCCTTGCTCTTAAGTCTCAATATGCAGCACTGAGTCAGGGCCAGGGAACTTGGGAAAGAGGGAATGGAAGACACACAGTTTTTAGCGCCCTCAAACCTAGTGGATCAAGCTCTAAGGAGCTGCTACCTTGGCCAGATGTGTCTCAGCCCTCATCCCTCCTTGGTTATGATCCCCTTTGGCCTTTCCGGATGTGAACTATGGGGACCAGCCTCCCTTGGACCAGGGCATCCTTGTAACCTGCTTCATGTGAGTACCCAAGAGCTTTTTGAATCTTTAATAATCAAGCACTTTTTACAGACTCAAAAATTTAGGAGCTTTCTCATCTGTTTGCATCCATGTCCCAGAAAAAACTTCTAAAATTCTTTTCTAGACATCTCCCTTTTGCCTCATACCTTTGCCTCTTACCTCTCTGCATCTCCCTTCTAGCTGCAGAGCATAGACTTTGAGGTTCTCATTAAACTGTGAGAGAGATAAATTTTAATGTGCTTGGGCAGGGCAGTTCCTCAGAGGAGCAGAGGCCAGGGTGGGATTTATCATGAAAGGGATTGAAGGTCATTCCTGTGAGAGAAGGAGGGCACGAGGGTGGAGGAGGCCACAGTGCCAGGTTGATCTTGAGTGCAGGAGAGAGGAGGGAGGTTGGGAAGAGGTGCTCTAGACAGCCACGCTGTGCAAGGGAGGTTCCACGGGAGATGGGCATCTCCCAGGGGTGTGGTGGCATGTGGAGGCTATAGCAACTTCTGGAATACATGACAATCACAGGGATCTTAGAAAACAGACTCCTGAGGTCTTAAATGAAAACTTCAGAAGGACACAGAAAAGGACTAGAGGACCAGAGAGATAGCTCAGCAGTCTAAGTGCCTGCCTAGGCAAGTGCAAAGACCCGGGTTTGGTCCCTGGCAGCACATGCCTTGCTGCCCCCAACCCAGGCATGCAGAGTGGGCCACCAAAACTGGGCTTGGTGGTACACACCTGTAATTCCAGCGCTGGGGTGGATGAAACAGGAGTATCACTATGAGTCCAAGCTGTGCAGTGAGACCCTATACCAAATACATGAAATTAATTTTTTTAAAAAAGAACTAGAAAGATCAAAGATTTATCGAAAGTGAAATTTGTTATTAATGGTGCAGGAGAAAACTCCAGGAAACTGAGACTAGGAAGACTAGATTTAATACTGTCTACGTAGAAGCAGGCTGAAATCTGAGTGACATCACTGAATTTCTGGAGAGGAGGCTAGGTGCACATGGGGTTTGGGGTTCAGGGTTATAGACCCAAGGAATCTGGATGGGATTTTTGTGGTCAAACTGCAAGGACTATCAGCGCAGATGTACATGTAGATCTGGGTCTTCCGGTATTGGGGAGACTGTAGGTCTAGTCCTAAATTTCTTTATGGTCATCAGCTCTTGTTTGCTTAGGGAAGCATGGAAGAGAAGATCTTTCTCAGATCAGGCCTGAAAAAATTACACTCCACAGATTGGGAGCAGGCCAGTGAGAAAAGCTCTTGGTCTCAGTCCTGGAGGTTTTAAGCCTTAGGGTTTGAGCTGGGACTGGGAGTTGGTGTGAATATTGCCCTTGCCAGTAAGTGGTTTGGCTTTCCTCTTCTGCTGCGCAGCACAAGTTTTGACCTTTCATGGTCCTGGAGGAACTGTCATCACCCCCAAAGCCCATGGGGGTGTGGCCAAAGCTACATACATAACCAATGACATGGTAATTAGGGCCTAGGTTGGCCAAAGACTGCTGAATACCACCAGGCAGACACCCATAGGCTTACTGTGTGTAATTTGGGTTACCTAGTTCCTGTCTCCTAGTGTAGTTAGACTTGAATATCCTGGACCTGGGTTAAAATTTATCTTAAATAAAGGTGGCTCTAGCTAGAAAAGCAGGCTCCAAGGCAAGCATTTCTTTCTACACAGCCACGAGCAACAAATACACATTATTGAGATTTAGTTTTCTAACTTCTTGCCTTAGAATGATATGTTCAGAAAGCATAGGGACGTGCTTTTCATTTTATTTTTATTTTTTTAACGTATTTAGTATAGGGTGTACAGGGTCGACAGTGTCTTACTACATAGGTTGGACTCTTAGTGATCCTCCTGTTTTCAGCCTCCCAAGAAGTGGGATTACAGGTGTGCACCACCATGCCCAGTCTCAATCTCCAGCTCAGCACACCCTGGAGGTGGGACTGGCACAGCACACTGGGGATAGAACCTCTGCCACTGCTCACTGCTTAAGCAGGTGCTTTAATCCACTGGGCTATCTGACCGGCCCAAAGGACCTGCCTTTTAGGTGATCATTTACCAAATGCTTTGCTCCTGTATTGCATGAGCCTTAGTCTCTCAACCTGCTGGCTGTCACTCACCACCTGACTGCTAAGGCAGTAACAAGGAGCTCATATTTGTTCCAACAGCACCCTGTTTTTAAGACAATCTCTATTTTAGTCACAAGAATTCATGGAATTTATTGCAATAGGCAAATTGAGAAATCTCAGTGGTTGAGTATAGTGCAGTTATTTCTTGCTCACGTTGCAGTCTGACATAACTCACAGAGACTTAGGCTGCTCCCTCTCACTGTCCAATGCCTCTGGTTCTCTTCTGGCGGTTGACAGCAGGGTGAAGGTGCAGAGAAAGGTTTCAGCTGATATGTGCTTCACCCAGGAGAGGTACAAGTTACTTCCTGCAGTGAGTGCTGCCTGTCACTCGGTATCATCTCTGACGAGCAGCTTGAGAGGGCTGGGTCTCGGGTCCAGCTTCAGCCCTGGATGTCTGGCTGGGATGCTTTGCTGCTCACTAGAAGGAAGGGAGGTAGGAGGGCAGGAGGAGCCCTTGGGCTGCATCTCCCTGGGCTCCTCTGGTGGATGCTGGCTTTGTTGAGTGGGTGACTGCTCTGTGCTGTGCCCGGGGCTCTTCAGCTCATGCCTTATGGTTTGAAAATCAGTCATGTTTCTCCTCCTCCTCTGTTCTTCCTCCTGCTGTGTGGCAGCCAGCAACAGGCACATCCAGTGGCTCCTGGGTGCAGACGGCGAGGTCTGGGTCTGGGTTATGGGAGAAGGCCCTGGCGACAAGCCCTACGAAGAGATCTCGGAGGAGCTGATTGCGGAACGGGCACGGCTGCAGGCGCAAAGGGAGGCTGAGGAGCTCTGGTGAGGGGATTGGGACCAGAGGGTTGCTGGGCCTGAGCTTGGGTGTGTTTGGAGCTGTGGGAATGAGCAGGAGGCAGGCAGGAGGTGGCCGTCAGCTGAGTGCTGCTGAGACCAGGTGTCCCAAGCCCTGGAGTCCTGTGTCAGCTAACCCAGTGGGCTTGAATCCCAGCTCTGCTAGTTGGCATTCAGCTGACCTGGGGCTGAGACTTCACATCTGTGGTGTGGGCCTGACAGTTCCTTCTGGTTTCCAGCCACATGGGACCTACTAGATCTGGTCACCCCAAGTACACTTGAGTGGCTGTCATGGGCACAGGGCAGCAATTTGGATTCACTTCTGTTATTTGCTTGTTCCTCTTCCTGTGGTCCTCGTTCTCATGTGAGGGGGACAAAGGTGTCCCAGGTGAGATTTTGAGTCCACCTTTTGGTTTTTGTACTAGGAATCGAACTCAGGACCTCATATTTTCCAGGCAGGTGTTACACTGCTGAGCTATACCCTCAGCCCTCCACCCCAATTATGAATGATAATGTTTTTAAATTGTGAAATAGTAAAATTGAAACGTATGTAGAATAATTAAAGGACAATCAACACCATCACCTAAGGTAATCACAATGAGCAGTTAGGTTATACATGCTTTGCAAACTGTTTCATTCACATCTTGACAAGTTGATGAATACAAGTCTATATCACTACTGAAGATTATTATATAATATTCTAATATCTGAGAAAACCATCTCATTTGCCCTTTTGATAAACATTTGAATCACCTGCCATTTTCTGCTATGAAAATGCCCCTTTGTACACGTGCAGGAGATGGGAGATTTCCTTGTCTGGTTTTTGGTGCTCCCAGGAGGATTTGGCTAGCAGACACCCCCTATGTGACAGTGCTATTTTTCCACCCTTGCCAACATTGAATTTTGTTGATTTTTAGTATGCGCCATTCTAAAAGCCAGGAAAGAGTTCTTACTGTTGTTCTTTGGAGTCCACAGTGACATGGTCTTCAGGCTTTAACTGAACCTGACTCTTGCTGGTGCTCTATTGAAAGGAGACAGAAGGAAGCAGAGATCACTAAGAAGTTCCGGGATGCTCTGGCCAATGAGAAAGCCCGAATCCTGGCAGAGAAGTGGAAAGTGGAGATGGAGGACCGCAAAGCTGCCAAAATCCTGGAGGAACGCATCCACGAGGAATTTAAGGTGGGGAAGGACAGGACAGCTGTGTGTAGGTATCTCTTCAGCCCTTGGAGCTACTGGGACCGACCTTTGGCTTGGACCTGCCTCTGGTCATTGGCTGTCAGTGGGAGCTTAATGAGAATGGAAATCTGGCGTGTCTTGCCAGGAACAACCTTGACCTGACCAGTGGGGTACTCCGCTTCTCTCAGTGTACCAATGAAGAGACAGGGTCAGATGTGGGAGAGCATTGCTAAGGCTACAAGATGCTGGGGACAGAATCAGGACTAGAAGCTAGGCCTTCTGTATCCTACACCAGGGGTCTTGACAAGAGGCCTTGGTCTCCGGGGAGGCCAGCGTGGGCTCTCATCCCTCCTCTACTGCTTACTGCTATTGACCCTAGGAAGATTATCACCTTCTCTGAGCCACCACTTCCTTTTTTCTGATATTTGAGCAATAAGAACAATTACTTGAGTTGTTAAGGAGGATTTAATGAGATGATATGTATACATTTTGGGGGCCAGAACAGGAAATTGTTGATAACCTTTTATATCTACTTGTTTCATGCAACCTTGGAATTGAGAGAGGTGCTTTCTTCTTGTCTGGTAGGAAGTTGCAATAGCTTGTGAACACATCTTTTTTTCCTACTCTTCATTCTGGGTTATTTTTAGCTTTTATTTTATTTTTAACTGGTTTGCTTGTTTTGGTCTAGGATCAATACATTTTATTGGATAAAGACAAAGAAAATATAGATCCACAGAAAATAAAAAGTAATCATGCTAAAGCTCAATGTTGTGTTATTTTGTGAGCTGCATTGTAAAAGACAAATACAATCAGATATGAGTTAACGTAGTGAAAATAGATTATTCCCCCTCCAGTAACTGCTGCAATGGAGAGAGAGCTGAGCAGCCTTTCCACTTGAGCAAGGGCAGGCTGGGTGTTCGAATGGTGAGGAAAGGAAAGGAAAGAGCAGGTGCTCAGTGAGTGGCTGTAGATGCCACTGGGCAGGTGTGTCTGCAGGTGGCAGGTGCTAAAGCTTGGACCCTGTCCTCTGTCTCTGTGCAGAGACTGCAAACGGAGGGCCTTGCTTTCCTAATGAGGATGTGTTAAAGGCATGGACCTTGGGCCCTTCAGAAATATGTACCTGAGCCTTGAAGGACACATATTAGGAACTGAACATTCTTTCTAGCAAATGCTCTGAGAAGGGCAGTCAGGGCCTGTCAGTAGGAGCTGGCTAGGTCAAATAGTACATCTTCCTGGTAGCACTGCGCTTTCTCAGGCCTGTGCTTCAACAAGGGCTGAAGTCACCCTCAGCAGGCCAGCTTTTGGTCCAGACTTTCAGAGCAGGAGTTTGGCAGGAGTTATCCATCAGAATATTTGTGGCATTTGTCCATTTAAGAATACTCTTACTCCTCATAATGGTTAGATAGTGAGGATATTCTTTTTTTTTAAATCATTTATATTGCAAGTATTTTTGTCTGTTACTTTTTTGTCTTCTTAGTTTTGGTTATAGTATCTTTAGATGCTACAGAAGTTTAAAATTTTTATTCACCAAATATATCATTTTTTATCATTTGTTCCATGCTCAGAAGGATCTGTGTCATCATGAGTGTATAAAAATACTAGTCTCCATCTTTTACGTACCTTTCATGATTTTATTTCTATGAATTTGAGTCCTATCACCTTGCAGAGTGCTACGATATAAGACTCTGGCTTTATTTTTTTCCAAATGATTAGGAACTTATTATAATAGCATTTATTAAATAGTCTATCTTCTCCTTTTCCTTTGGACCTGATTCCTTAATTGGAATTTTACTTTTTACTTAGTTCTAGATCTCTTCATTTATTATATTCTCTGATTTATTGTTCTTGAGCCACACTTAACTGTTTAATTATTGTAGTTTTAAAATGCAGTTTTGGATGAAACTTACCATTACTCTTCACCTTCAGTATGTCCTTGACTAACCTCACCCATTTTTTTTTTTCTGCTGGGAGTACTTTCAAGTTATCCTTAGGCTTCTCCTCAACTACAAAACTCAGAGTGATTTTCACTGGTATAGATTCAGTGTAATAACTGTGTTTATGAAAAGTGGAATGATATGGGTAAATATAGATAAATAAACATGATCTCAAATAAAAAAAAAGAAAAATGGACACTTTTTTTTTTTTTTACAGTATTGAAGCACTGAAATTCTTTCTTCAGGAATGTGATATATTTGTCACCCAAAGCTTTTTATCTTTCTTAAATTTTTATTAAACACTTGCAAAATTCACTGGTCACTTAATGCTGAACATCTTCAATAATTCATACATAATTATGTATGGCTATGTTTTGAATCTTGGTAAGATTTATTTGTTTTGGGTGTTCTACATTTCTATTTTTAATTAAACCTTAGTATTAATATTGTTCATAGTAAGTCTTAATGAGGTCATTCCCATTAGTTTGCAACTGTTGCAAGTGTTGATACACATATTGTGTATGTATATGCGTACAGAGATATTGATCTCTTTATTTAACTTTCCATGAGTTATAACTTTTGCAAGGAGATTGTCTTGAGTTTTAAACAAAGCATTTTGACTCTTCAAGTAATATATTTCATTAAAAAAATCAAGGCCAGTGAGATAGCTCAGCAGTCTAAAGTGCTTGCTTAGGCAATCTTAGGCAAGTGCTCAGGGGCCACAGTTAGATCTCTGGCACCACATGCTGCGCCAGCCCTGCCCCTAGGGTGGGCTGAGCCAGAAGCAACAACAGCAACAAAAAAATCAAACACACAAAGAACATAAAAGAGGTACACAATTAATATGTATATTTCCATTTATATTTACAAAGTATTAATATTTTGTGAGATGGGCACCCTTTCTTACATGTATGTGCATACACAATATATACACAAGCACACATATGTACAATCAGTCTGTCTATCATCTGTGTCATTGCTGTTTTGCTGAACAGTTTGAGAGACAGTTCCACAGATCATGATACTGACCCATGTGTCAGCCAACTAGTTTCTGGAAAGGGCCAGGTAAGTGGCTTGGGCTTTGGGGGTCATTCCATTAGGTCACTCTTTAGCTGTGCCCTCTAACACAACTGCAGCTCTAGATAACATGTAAACAAATGCATGGGGCTGTGTTCCAATAAGACTTCATTCAAAATAAAAAAAAAGTTAGAGGCCATATTTGATCTGTGAAGCTCAGTTTGCAGATTGCTGGTAAAACCCTAAGAGCCTCAGACCACCTCTCCTATCCAGGGATGTTGCGGTGGGGAGCCACAGTAATTGTCATCACACACACTGAAATGAACAATAGTTCTGTAATCTCATGTCCAGCCAATCCACAGCGGAGAGAGATTCACATTGTTGGATTTTGCATATGATTACCTGGACTGCTGGGAAAGAGCCACTCTTGTTTTAATAGCTCTATTACTGATACTCATCCATTCCATTGTGGTCTCCTATGGCCCTGTGGGCTGAGGGCAGGCATCCCAGGAGCTTTCAGGGCACCTGAGTCCTCGGCCAGCTCATAAGCAGATTGCAGAGGGATCGAGTTACTGCTGGAGATCTTCTGGTCGATGGTCTCCTGAGAACCTGTGTGATAGAGGAGGTGATAAGCCGTGGAGTGCTCAGTGCCAATGTCTGGGGAGGGGTCAGTGAGGCCACCTAGCCAGGCCCTCGGGTCACCAGGTTTCCCAGTGCAAGTATCTATTGTTATTTATGAAGGAAGTCACAGTTATGATGTATTTATTTTTTGTAAAAAATGCATTTGTTAAATGGGAATGTTTCTTCTTTGCTAGAGACAGTTGTCCTGATTCAGTTTGTTTTCATGTTGAAACTCTTCAAATCACTGAGTCTGAGAGCCCCTGGTTGTCTTAAGAGACATTAGATCAAAGGTGGGAGGGGGTCGACCTGTCCAGGTGTAGGGGCTGCGGTGTTCCTTGACAGATTCGTCTTTGGTGTGTTTCCCTGTTGCTGTGAGTTCTTCATCCCAGCAGAACACAGACACAGAGGCAAGGTCACCTGAAGATGCTTCTGCCGTGGTTTGCACATGCTGGGGCTAACACTTGCCACGCCTCCTTTAGGGAGTTGGGGTTCATTTCCCCTCCCTTCGAATCTATGTTGACTTTGACACTAGCTTTGATCTGTAGAAGAGAAATGACCATAATTTAATTTTTTTTCAAAGTTTTATTGATAAACAGATAGCAATGAGACAGTTTCAAATCAAATCGGAAGTACAGTTTCAACAAATAATACACTGCATATATTCTTCTTAGTGTTTAATTGCTGTACAAGATGCTGACTTGTGATCCTATTTACAAACACCATTAGAACAAATCATTCTATTCTTTAAGAGAATGCAACTATATATCTATCCCAACCACTTTGAATACACAGATACAAAATGGACATTCATAGGTATACCCCATTTTTTCTAAGTTCTATTATTGAATATTATAGGTGTGTAAACTCAGCAAAATATTCTAAAAGAGTCCAGTAGCCCATAATAGCATTGAGTCTTGACTATAATTTAAAAAAACCCTTCTAATTAAAACTTTTTAAAATAACATTGTTATTAAGACATCTAAATATACAAAAAGCATAGAACGTAACAAAAATATTTGGTCATCTAACTGACAAATTCAAAAATTTCAATATATTCCATGTTTGCTTCATATTAAGAAAAAATGATGCCAGGGCTGGTAGTTCGTGACTGCGATGGACTCTAGAGGTTGGGGCAGGAAGAGTACAGCTTGAAGCCAACCTGAACAACTTAGCCAGAGAAACTATGTCCAAATGAAACAGCAAGAACAGCTGGAAGGGGGTGGGTGGCTCAGTGTTCAACTATCAGTGCAATACTCTCTCTCTCTCTCTCTCTCTCTCTCTCTCTCTCTCTCTCTCTCTCTCTGTCTGTCTCTGTTTCTGTAGGTAGGCTATGTGCCTTGTGAAGGGTTTCGCCATGCTAATGCAGGTGGTGAAATAATTCACCCAGAGCAGAGCAAGAAAAGTGATTGTTCGCTGACTGCACTGTTGGGA